GTATATATATACACACACATACATATAAACTGTATGTATACATACACACACACACATACATATATACTGTATGTAAACAGTGGGGAGAACAAGTATTTGATACACTGCCGATTTTGCAGGTTTTCCTACTTACAAAGCATGTAGAGGTCTGTAATTTTTATCATAGGTACACTTCAACTGTGAGAGACGGAATCTAAAACAAAAATCCAGAAAATCACATTGTATGATTTTTAAGTAATTAATTTGCATTTTATTGCATGACATAAGTATTTGATACATCAGAAAAGCAGAACTTAATATTTGGTACAGAAACCTTTGTTTGCAATTACAGAGATCATACGTTTCCTGTAGGTCTTGACCAGGTTTGCACACACTGCAGCAGGGATTTTGGCCCACTCCTCCATACAGACCTTCTCCAGATCCTTCAGGTTTCGGGGCTGTCGCTGGGCAATACGGACTTTCAGCTCCCTACAAAGATTTTCTATTGGGTTCAGGTCTGGAGACTGGCTAGGCCACTCCAGGACCTTGAGATGCTTCTTACGGAGCCACTCCTTAGTTGCCCTGGCTGTGTGTTTCGGGTCGTTGTCATGCTGGAAGACCCAGCCACGACCCATCTTCAATGTTCTTACTGAGGGAAGGAAGTTGTTGGCCAAGATCTCGCGATACATGGCCCCATCCATCCTCCCCTCAATACGGTGCAGTCGTCCTGTCCCCTTTGCAGAAAAGCATCCCCAAAGAATGATGTTTCCACCTCCATACTTCACGGTTGGGATGGTGTTCTTGGGGTTGTACTCATCCTTCTTCTTCCTTCAAACATGGCGAGTGGAGTTTAGACCAAAAAGCTCTATTTTTGTCTCATCAGACCACATGACCTTCTCCCATTCCTCCTCTGGATCATCCAGATGGTCATTGGCAAACTTCAGACGGACCTGGACATGCGCTGGCTTGAGCAGGGGGACCTTGCGTGCGCTGCAGGATTTTAATCCATGATGGCGTAGTGTGTTACTAATGGTTTTCTTTGAGACTGTGGTCCCAACCCTCTTCAGGTCATTGACCAGGTCCTGCCGTGTAGTTCTGGGCTGATCCCTCACCTTCCTCATGATCATTGATGCCCCACGAGGTGAGATCTTGCATGGAGCCCCAGACCGAGGGTGATTGACCGTCATCTTGAACTTTTTCCATTTTCTAATAATTGCGCCAACAGTTGTTGCCTTCTCACCAAGCTGCTTGCCTATTGTCCTGTAGCCCATCCCAGCCTTGTGCAGGTCTACATTTTATCCCTGATGTCCTTACACAGCTCTCTGGTCTTGGCCATTGTGGAGAGGTTGGAGTCTGTTTGATTGAGTGTGTGGACAGGTGTCTTTTATACAGGTAACGAGTTCAAACAGGTGCAGTTAATACAGGTAATGAGTGGAGAACAAGAGGGCTTCTTAAAGAAAAACTAACAGGTCTGTGAGAGCCGGAATTCTTACTGGTTGGTTGGTGATCAAATACTTATGTCATGCAATAAAATGCAAATTAATTACTTAAAAATCATACAATGTGATTTTCTGGATTTTTGTTTTAGATTCCGTCTCTCACAGTTGAAGTGTACCTATGATAAAAATGACAGACCTCTACATGCTTTGTAAGTAGGAAAACCTGCAAAATCGACAGTGTATCAAATACTTGTTCTCCCCACTGTATGTATATATATATATACACACACACACACACACATCATGGGATATTACTATTTGAAACACAAACACAGCATATTTCCCTTGGGGGTAACCATGATGATTAGAGCCTATATGATAAGCTCTCCTCCAGTCCCATTGAAGCGAATGGCTCCTCTCTCCATTGTGTTCTGTAGTGGGGGAAACCATGAGCTGATCCTGCTAGCTGTAAGCACTAATACTGCACGCTCATACAGACATCATCACAGCTAAGCCCTGCTATCCCAATGCCAAAGGAGAGAAAGAGAGCTCGCACACACACACACACACACAAACACACACACACACACACAAACACACACACACACACACACAGGAAAACACAAGAGCACACTGCACTGTGGGAGAGCTATTGTACACAGCCCCTGGAAGAGCGAAGCAGAAGTGCTTTACTCCTGTTTGTGTGCACTGTGTGTGTGTATGTGCGCGTGTCCTAACCAAAACCCCTAGAGTCGATTGACGCGGCCACGCTAATTAACATAATAAAAAAATCCACAACAAAATCGGTCTGTTTAAGCTAGAAATAACTGCGTCTCAATCCACTGCATCCGCCGATGTCGCCCTTCGGCATCTGCGGTGGAAAGTGGCAGAGCTACAGCAGTGTTTGTCAGACCAGGAGACGTAAACGTCTGTAGTGTCCGAATGGTTAGGGCTCCACTCTATGTAAAGATGAGACTCTCAAAATGATCCATGTTATTACCATCTTAAAACATGAGTTACGGTTTAATCAGCGGCAGATTTAGCATGAATATTCCAATGTGTTATTTTTCAATTCAAACTATAATATCTAAACAAACCCTCTCCTCTCTGTGTTTTTTTTTTTTTTTCCCTTTTTTCCTTTCTTTCCCCCCAAATTTCTTTTTTCCCCTTCTTTTTTTTGTCCCCCCCTCTTTCCTTCCCACCTTCTTTCCCCTTTTCTCTCCTCTCTCTCTCTCCTTTCTCTTCTTTCCCCCCTTCCTTTTCCCCCCTTTTCTCTCTTTTCCCCCTCTTTCTTCTCTTTGTTCCCCCCTTTTTTCCCCCGCTTTTCCCCCCCTTCTCTTCTCCTTTTCCTTTTTCTCTCTCTTTTCCCCCCTCTTCTTCTCTCTCCCCTCCCCCTCTCTGTCCCTTTTTTCCCCTCTTTTTCTCCCCCCCTTTCCCCCCTCCCCCCCTCCCTTTTTTTTTTTTTTTTTTTTTTTCCCCCTTTTTTTTTTTTTTTTTTTGTTTTTCCTT